CTCAGCCCTAGGGAAACCCACCCTGCTGACCCCCCTTCCTAGGGGCCCTCCTGGCTGACAAACCACGCCGGGCTCCGCTCTCTGCTCAGGCACCTCCTGCCAGCAAGGGTCCAGCTGCTGCCTCTGGTGTCACAGCCCTGGAGCCTTGGGTGGGGTGGTTCTGGTGGGGTAGGGGGGCAAATTTCCCCCCATCTCCACCCCCAACACTCTCCAGCCACTTCCTGTCCCCGCTGGGGAAACGCTGCTCAGCTCTCTCCCCTGCTGGACCCCACCTGGGTGATGTGCTCGCTGATGCAGAGCGCGGGCTCTCTCCACACCCTGCCTCGAATTCGATGCCACTGCCCAGCAGCCTGCGGCCTGGCAGAGGGCGCTTTGTCAGTGACCCAAGCGCGGCGGCTCGTCTGCACGCGAGGCCGTGCCAGCCCTGGCTGCAGCCTGGCTCCTCCCCGCTGAGACAGCCAGGTCCCCGCTGTGGGCGCTGCAGCCTACCATCCCCAGCAGCGATTCAGCGTTCCCGCGCCACCCTCGTTCCTGCTCTCTTCCCCCCCGCAGCAACTTGCCACCAGGCTACCCAGCGGGCCCAGGAGGAGGGGGAGCAGCTGCGGGGGGAGAAGGACCGGCCCATCTCCGAGCTGCGGGGCAGAATCGACGCCATGGAGACAGAGTATGAAAAGATCCTGCACGTGAGTGGCTGGGCCGGGGGGCTGGCGCCAGGCCCAGGGGAGCCCAGAGTTTGCCAGGGTTGGGGGAGGAGAATCGCCCTCGTCTCAGAGGAACCTGCTGCTCCACAGAGCTGGGGGTCCTCCCCCCAAATACCCAGAGTGGCTCCCTGCTGGCATCTGCTCAGTGTGCTCCCAGGGTGCCCCTCACCATGGCATCTAGGCACCCAGCTCCAGAGCATCCTCCCCTAGCCACCTGCCCCACAAGAGCCCTGCCCACCTTAGCAGCTGTTCTTCACCCGTTGCTTTTCTGTCCTCCCCCTCCAGGGCAGCCTGGACCGAGAAGGACGCCACCGCCATGCACACGGAGTACAAAGAGAGGCTGAGCGAGTTCGGACTCAGTCCCCTGGAGATCTAGGGCCCTAGCGGTGTGCTGGGACAAGGGGCCACATGGAGGCCCCATCATGGCCAAGCGCTAACCCCCCCAGGAGTGGCAGCTGGGATGGGCGGTGTGGCAGGACCTGCAGATATTCTCCTTCCTGGGTGGGCTTAGTGCTAGGGGACAGAGCTGGATCAACAGCCTTGGGGACCAGCATCCTCTAAGGCAGCTCTGTTGACACCAGGCCCAGCTCACCTTGCCCCCCCCCTCCCCCCCCCCGCTAGCAGAACAGTTCAGCCTGTCTCCACTTTGTTCCTCGGTTTCATTGCTGATCCCTCCTTCCCTTCGCACACTCCCTCCCTCCCGCCCCTTCCCACAGAGCCCAGCCGGGTTCACGGCTTCTCCGATCAGCAGCAGCTTCCCTGGCTTTTGAAAGTTCTGTTTTAATTGTGTAAACAGAGAAGAAAAGCAGCATGGGGGAGCCTGCTCCCACCCAGTGGGGGGATGGGAGGAGCTGCTGGGCTGGGGGGGCGCAGAAGGAAAGGGGGTAGGTGTGTCCAGCACAAGCCAAGGGGCCAGCTCCTTCGCCAGCAGGAGTGACAGCGCCTCGTTGGGACCGTGCACGGTCAGGCCAGGTCATGCAACTGCTGGCCCTGCTCTCTGCTCCATCACTCGAGCCAGACACACTGCCCCCGTGGCTGGACCACCACAGATCCTAGCTCACCAGTCCCGACAAGCAAGGGGCCAGCTTGGATCCCCCCCCTCGCTGAGGAGCTGCGACCGATGGGTATCTAAAGCCCGTGTCAGAGAGAGGCCCCTGGGTGGAAACCAAGTCTCTGATCCCTAGAAAGGTCCTTCCCAGCCAAGCTCAGCATGAGCAGGGGAGATGGAGAGGCTGCTGGCCATTGTAAAAGTAAGAATAAAAGATACCCGCGGCGTCAACCCTGGCTGCAGCAAAATGGACGCTTCCCATCCCCCACGGCCTCTGATTAGCCATGGCTAAGCGCTCCCAGGCCTGCTTGCAAAAGACCTTCCACCAGCCACGCAAGTCCCTGGAGCCAGCCCCTCCATGCAACTTTGTACCAGCAAAAGCTGGATGTGAGTCAACAGGGCGCCCTTGTAGGCAAGAAGGCTAATGGCATATTAGGGGGCATTAGGAGGAGCATTGCCAGCAGATCTAGAGAAGTGATTAGTCCCCTGTATTTGGCGCTGGTGAGCTACATCTGGAGTCTTGTGTGCAATTCGGGGCCTCGCACACGAGAAAGGATGTGGACGCATTGGAGAGGGTCCAGCGGAGGACGACCAAAATGATAAGGGGGCTGGAGCGCATGACGTATGAGGAGTGACTGAGGGAGTTGGGTTTGTTTAGTCTGCAGACGAGAAGAGTGAGGGGGGATTTGAGAGCAGCCTTCAACTTCCTGACGGGAGGTTCCAGAGAGGATGGAGAAAGGCTGTTCTCAGTGGTGACAGATGGCAGAACTAGGAGCAATAATCATAAGTTACAGTGGGAAAGGTCCAGGTTGGATATTAGGAAAAACTATTTCACTAGGTGGGTGGTGACGCACTGGGCTGGGTTCCCTAAGGAGGGGGTGGAGTCTCCACCCCTAGAGGTGTTTAAGTCTCGGCTTGACAAAGCCCTGGCCGGGTTGATTTAGTTGGGATTGGTCCTGCCTAGAGCAGGGGGCTGGACCTGATGCCTCCTGAGGTCTCTTCCAGCCCTGGGATTCTACGACAAGGTTTCGCCTCCCTCCCGCCTGTGCATAACTTGCTGCTCTTTCCTCCCCAGCTTTCTCTTCACTCTTAGTCCCCAGCCCCCCCCCTCCCCCAGCCAGTGGGCCACCAGTCCCCAGCTCCAGTGCCTCTAACATCAGAGTCTCGCCACACGTCACCCCAGGGCCCAGTGCAGCCACTTCCCCGTCTGTGAAGCCCTCTCCTACGTGCTCCGTTGCTGTGCTCCCCCTGGCCACAGGGGAGACGAGATGGTGCTGCTGTGTCTGTCAATAAAAGAGGCACCATGCCTCCGCCCTGCTTTCCTTAAATGTGAGGCCTCCTTGGTTCGCCGGCCTGGGGCCTGCTCCCGTGCTGGGTCCGACCTGAATCTCTGAGACTGAGCACAGGAGAGGCAGCAGGGGAAATCCCAAGATCAGATGATTGGCGGAGCAGCAGCCCAGGCGCTCGTAGCAAGGGAAGAATCAACGTGCAAGTTTATCGTTTGTGCAAAACGGCGTGGTCAGGGCCGAGGGTTGAAGCCGCGGCGAGGGCGCTCAGCCCCCAGGCCCAGCGTCGCGTGGCTAGCAGGACTGGCTCAGCCCCTTTGATTCCTCACGTCGCGGCCCCTGCGTGGAACGGAGAAAGGACAGCGCCGCGGTGACTGGGGAAGGAGCAGGGAGGGGGGATCCAGCTGGCGTGTGGGGAGGGGAAGAAGGGATGTCTGTGGTTAACCAGTAAGCATCAGCTTTCCCGGTTAACCGGTGGCCTGGCCCAGCAAGAGTAGCCTCTGCCTGCCCACGGCCGGGCTCGTCTGGCCAGACTAGCCCACGGCACCCGCCTGTGCCCACTGTCTAGGGCAGCTCCACTGCAGCCCAGGGCTCTGGATGGCAACGCTTTTCCACCTAGCCCCTCTAATAACCACGCCGGGAGGCTCTGCCCCGCGCCAGCCAACTGAGGAGCCCACGGCCCTTCACCGGGGCACGTTAGCGAATGCAAGGAGACTAGAACCCAGGAGCTCTGACTCCCAGCCTAGGCTCCCTTGAAGTTTTTCCACCCATATGCAGAATAAATTTTGTTTTGTGCACCCAGGTATGTGCCGCTGTGCACCACCAATGGAAACATACACTGCCGGCTGACGGTGCTCTGCTAATCCACTGGACAGCACCCGAATCTCTCCGGGGCAGCACTCAGATTAAAGGGAATGCTGCTCCCAATCGTTCACCTCCCAACCCCACCCCAAACGTTGCCTCAGTTAGGCAATGAAACCAGTGGTGGGGAGGCAGCTCAGGATTCCGGGCACAGGCAGCCAGGGACACAGAGAGGCCCGCTGTCTTGGGGGCGGGATGCAAGGCTCAGAGCTTGAGTCGTGCCAGAGGGGCGCTGTCTGGGGCCTCCAGCCAGGCTGGGGGTGTGTGGGTCAGGCTGACATTGTTCGGCCACCCCTGGTGCTCAGGCTGCTGGGGACTTGCCTCTGTGATGAAGACCTCTGGCTCGTCAGTGACAATCTGCTGCTGAAATCCGCGCCCTTCCGGCCCCCGGTCGGGGAGGCAGAGGCAGGGCGTGCTGGCGGGCGCGCTGTTCCCCTGAGGCGTGATGGGACAGGTGGGAGCCGTGGGGAGAGGGGGCCCCTCTTCAGAGAACAGCAGTGGTGACAGGCCCATCTGGAAAACCAAGCGTGGGCCTGAGCCGGGGAGAGCATCCCGCAGAAGGGGAAGGGAGGAGCCATGTTTGCCAAGGTCCTTCTGTCCTGGCATCCCACATGGCCAGTGACCCCGCCATGGGAGCCTATCTGCGGGGCTGCTGCAGGGCAGGTGTTTCTCCCTCCCGCGGCACCGCAAGCCTGCTGGCCCGGGACGTACCGAGCTGTAGAATTTGTCTCCTTCCGGGTCGATGACCAGCAACGTCACCTGGTTGCCGCCGGCGCGGATCCTGTCCACTACCTCCTGGTGGCCCAGCTTCTCCACGTCCTCACCATTCACGGCCAGGATCCGGTCCCCGTCCTGCATCCCTGCCTTGTCCGCTGGCAGCCCCGCATCCACCTCGCTCAGGAACTGGGCTGTGTGTGTGCGGCGGCGACCCAGCGCGAGAGAGGAAGAGGGAGAAGAGAGTCAGTGAGAATTAGAGTGTGTGTTTGAGAAAGAAGCTGAACTCTCTTTACTGAGAGGGACCATGTGGTGGGGTTGGCCCCTCCAGCTAAACGCATTGATCCTCACAGGAAAGAGGCCATTAGGGACAATATCCCCCTTTTATAGATGGGCAAACTGAGGCACAAATGGGGTGACCTTGGCAAGCCCCTAAGGGTCAGGGTCAGAACTCAAGAGCTCCGAGCTCCCAGGCCTGTGCTCAGCCCTCTCTCGGGCTTTGCCTCTCCCTCCTCGGCCACCTTACCTG